CCCAGCCTTCCTAAGCATGCACACATTTCCACATGCACACTTCTGAGAGCAGGATAACAAAAAACAGCTGCTGAAGAAGGTGTCTGAAAGGGCCTGGGCTTCCTAAAAGCTACAAAGTGAGGGCCTCCAGCTTGCTTGTTCCTGTCATCCTCAGTAAGCTTCTATCAACAATGTTATGAGGAGATTAAATACATTATTTGTAGGTTTCTGCCAGTATAGGGATTAGGGCTGAGTTACTGCTGGATAGTTTTCTATTATTAGTGAATGTAGCTGCAGCCTAGCTAAAGCATTTTTCCTGCTACCTTGTCTTTCTCTTTGCCGTAATTGTTACAAAGAGGTACTTGCAACTCAGTAGTCTACTGAAAAACTGACAAGTTTAGTCCAGCCTAAATTGAACATGGTCACTGGTCTTGTTTAACAAATTGCATTCTCTTGGTTTTTTAAGTCTAAAAAGGCTTGTGTTTGTTGTCTAGCACCATCTCACTTTCTCTGCACTATGAGAATGCTGCGTAGACAAGACTTTTTTTTGACAAAATTTAGGCATCTATTGGAAAGGAGACAAAATGCATCCAACAGATTTTTGAATTGGTCCCGATATAAAATTACCATGTACTGACTAATATCTTATTGCAGGGGTGCTCAACATTTTTCACTCAATGAACAAGAATTCCTACAGTATTTGCCCTGGGGACTTCTACTATTCCAGATGTGATTTAACAAGTGTCCTGTGGGAAGGTAAGAATTGCTTACATAGAAAATTACTTCTTGCATCTTTTACATGTTTTTAATGCAGCTTAACATACCAAAACAAAGAAAACAGAATGGCACTAACACAGATGTCCACCACTTTGTGCACCACCAAGCCTATGGATCCCTAGGCCACAGCATCACGGCAGTGTTAGCAGTCAGAATATTGCACGTGTCTCTGTGAATTTTAAGTTGCTAAATAAGTAACATTGACACGACCTAGATAAGGAAGCAGTGTAAAACGAAAAAGACAACTTGCTGCCAAAACTAACACAAAAGTTCCTGGCTAAAAGGTGTTGGGAGCTATCAAGTGACATTGACTTCAGTGAAACATGACCGAAAAGCAGCCAACAAACTGCCAGTCTCAATCACTATTGTCTCTGTTTCGCTTGCACTTAATGTCAGAACGATATGAGATGCTCACAGAGACAGCCCGTGAGAGGTGCTAATTCAGGGACGAAGTTCACCAGGAGAAGACCCTAGCGAACACTTGTCAAAAATGTCAAAAGGACATTGAGGAAATTAAGCATTCACGCCTAGATTTTTAAGAGAATCTGGGCCACAGAGAACCAGAACAACATTAAGAGAGTTGCTGCATATAGCTGTTCCCCAGTTTTTTGGATGTGACTTTCAAGTGTGAAAACACTTGAAAAACGATGAGAGAACAAGCTTTGGACCATACCAAGCACTTAAATAACATTAATTTTACTGAATTTATATTTGTTATATTTATATAGCTAGGAAACTATCTTAGAGTTTGGGAATTTGTCCCAAATACTATGAAAATAAATATATATTCGGAGATTCACATCTGCCGTGCAGCTTGAGTACTCATTTGTGATTATAAAGCAGAAATAAAAACCAAACAAGCAAAAAACCACACACACAATCAAAAAGGCAGCATTTTGCATGCACTTGGCACAGCTCCAGATGTGCAGAACTCCAAGTTTTCAGTGTATGCAGTGGAACAAATCACACAGATGTCAATGACATGGTGACATTTCATTTTATATCAAGGTTCCACCTCTGAGGTGGAACCAAGCTTTACTCACCACCTCACCATCTAATTTTAGGCAGTGCTCTGTCCACAGAGTTTTTGCAGACAAACCTGAGGTCAAGCCACCAGAGCTCCAGGGATGCCAGCTGACCCAAAAGCATTGCTCTACTGGTTTGGTGTCAGCACAGCAGCGCTTTTGGTTTGCTTGGCTGCTACAACAGAGCATGAGGGAGGGTGGAAGAAGCTGAGCAATGAATGAAAGATAAAGCATGGACAGGAGCCAGGTGTAGATTCCAAACTCAGATACAGAGTTGGAGGCATAGATGTGATTTGTGTACAATATTTATTTAGTAGCACATGCATTGTGTAGTACAAGATTGCTATGCAATGTTGGTATGGCTTATGTCTGAATCAATCTTTAAAGCAGAAACACCGCACACATCAGACCATAAAAAACAGCTAACTCTTAAAACCAGGTAAAACAGATTATGACAGCAAACTAGAAAGGCTAACATTCTTGCATGTCAAAATTCATAAATATCATATTTAGGCTTCATATAGAAAAAAATGCAAGGTCACTTTCAGCAGATCCAGTGAACACTATCATACTGTACGTTGAGTTTTAGCATAATATAAAGCCATCTGGTATGGAAACTCAAGCTCAGCAGATGCATTTGGAAAACGGAGCATTCATTTTTATTGTGTACTAAAATTAGATTTAAAGTGTGCTCAAAAGCATAACTAAAGCATATTGTCCCTTCTAGCATTTATATTGCAGGCATCAATGAGGCCTGTATTTGTTGATTCTGTGTTCAGACCTTTGGTCCTCTTCCTATCCCTGGTTAACTTCAACACAGAAGACCACAATCCTACTTAAACCAGCTGCACATTTGATTTTGTATACAAACCACAGTAATTAAAGTTTGAAAATAAATCTACCTGTATCTCATTCTGCTTCTCTAAGGTCTGCAAAGACAATTTTCCATCACCATTGACTTTCCTACCATTTCTGTTACACAATGTCTGGGTCCCAGAGAGCTTCAGGGTGCTCTGAAACCTCCTTTGGGCTTTGCTCCACTCCTGCTTCTGGGTCCTCCTGTTCTCTCCACACTTACCTCACTTGTGACTTAGCTAGCAACAAAAAAAAAAAAAAAAAAAAAAAAAAGTGGGTGGGGGGGAATCTCCATGATTCCAGATTCTTGTTTCTCTCCCAGATCTTTCATCACAACAGGAATATTGCCAGCATAGATCCCACCTTGGCCAGCCCTACCAGGGGCCAAGGCATTACTCATGTCTGACTTGCTACACTGCCAGCCCCCCCCATCTCCTTTTTTATGCCTTCCCTAAATTCTAGCTCTCAAATTCAGGGCTTCTATAATGCCGTAGTTAGATACTATCTGCAGCTTATAATTCACACTTACACATTATGCAATGCTCTCAATGAAGGGCTCTATATAAAAATAAATAAATACATGAGTTGGATTCTATGTCAGCAGTATTCCTCCTTGGAAACACATCTTTATATTGAATGCCTTGGAAATGTATAACACCAACCTTGTTTAACTTCCTTTCCTGTTATATAGCTCAGATGTCACAGATTCATGCACTGGCTTTCAACACTGTTTCTTTTGTTTCCCCATAAACCTGTTTGATTCCTAGACCAAGAGATAAACATTAAATACTTTGGGTTTTTCTTTTGTTTGCAAAGAATGGAAATATAATTGTGCCTGGCAGAGGTAAGGAACTGCTGAAAGTCAAATCAATTCTGTATCTATGGGCCCAGAGTAAAAGAAGGGAGCAGTCTGAAAGCCTAATTATCTCAAAGACTTCTGAGATGTGCAATAAGCTTATAGAAATGCACTGCCTGTCAGCTTGTGTTGCTTAATTACAGCTTATGGATGGTTAAATCAGTGGTGCGGTCTGACTGGTTGAATGTGACTAAGCGTTTTGTGACCACCCTCAGAAAGAACAATTCATCCATGTATGTTTTCAATATTGTTCTGTAACTCCATCTTTCAGAAAAATGTCTTATTTTCAGAGTTACAAACAATTCAGCATATAATTGAGAATCAGGAACCCACCATCTCTGCTCATTTGGAAATGCAATAGATTGCACAGGTGGTACAGCACACACATGTACATTGTACATGTGAATTCACTAGGTACCACTCACATAACAGGTGCTTTGATGTTTACGTCAATAAATAAATAAGAAGACATAATACAGGAATCAGACTGCATTTTTTTCAGTCCACTCATCAGAAAATATTTGAAGGATTGATCACATTTAACTATCTACTAGCTTTTTCCTCTGGGCTATAGGGTCACAAGTTATATTTGTCAAAATAACACTGTAAATTTTTTAATGCACATGATTTTTATTTATCCATTTGGAAGGTTCTGAAAAGGCCCCAAAATGTAAGGTCCTACCATTTTATTTACAGACTTCCACCATCTCTACAATGCCATCTGAATAGACCACTATAGGAATTTTGAGAACAAAATATTAGCAACATAATTTTGTCATCCAATAGAAAAATTAGTTAGAAGCTGAGGATGGCAAATTAGCCTGGAAGAGAATACAAGTAGGTTAATGAACTATTCAGATAAACCCTCAGAAGTCACAGCAATTCTTTGTAACAAGAAAGGCTGCATGTCTTCTATTAGAAGCAAAGAACAGCTCAAGAGCTCTTAAGGTTTGACATTTACAGAAGGTCAGGCTACATGCTCTCTTCTGGCCTTACACACTGCAGAAAAAGTTCTCTCTCTCACCAGCTCTCCTTAAACTAAGATACTATTAAAATCTCTGGGGCTGTGCACAGATGTACAGAATGAATAAATTTCTGTCTTTGAGATTGAAGGTTGCTGGTGAAAAACACACAACATTAAAGCAGCTTTCAATGTAACTTCACTAAGAAGTACTTCTTATTGTCCTTCTAAAAAAATATATGATAATACAATCAATAAGTAACAGTGCCATATCACTATATGAAACAGTAGTATTTTAACAATTTATTCATGGGTGCTCTAGTGACAGTTTTCAACAAGGTCCCAACCTAAAAGTAATTCATGGCACATTCAGTTCTCTTCAAATCAAGTTTACAGAATATTTGAGCATCTATCTGCAATATTATGTTCTATAATTTTTATGTTAACATTATCAGTTGCATTACACAATGCTAATAGGATTATGATTTAGCATTAGTCAACAAAGAGAAAAAAATTGTCATGGTTTAGTTAATTAGGGTCTCGTTTTCAGGGTTAGAAGAATTTTTAGAATATTATACAAATTAGTTTCAATACTAAGAGTATTGAAGAGTATGCTAAGATTATTTTGTTTTTTTCTTACAAAATATATGTAAGAGGGATAATAAAAGTATATATGAGCACAGAGAGCAGAGATTAGGTCTGAGGAATAGCATACATTGAGATCCTAGCACTTCATTTCCTACAAACCTATTGCATTCTCACAAGAGGGTTGGGGGTCAGGTGGAAGAGAAGGGAGGGGAAAAATAACTATAACAACCTTTAGTTGTACTCATGTACTGTTCTGTCTCATTTCTCCAATAAAAATGAGTTTCCTTAGAACCAAAGGCATAGTTTTCCATCCATAAAAATCACATCTTCAAACCACTTCCATCTCTCCCAGCCATGAAATGACCTCCTAAAGCCAACTGTCTGTGGTTGTTGAAAGTTGCTGTGCACATTCTGTAAAATGGAGTACATAGGTGAAATATAGAATCATATTGCACTCTTGGGATTTCCATTTTTAAAACATTATCTCAAGAAACCCTGAAAACAAGCATTAAATGCACACTTACCTTCTGAAAAATATGTTTCCTCACTGAATCCTCACAGCATCAAAAACAGCCATCTTCCATATGTCAAACTAATCCAATTCTGTTTTGGAAAAAATTGCTGCTCTCCTGCAAGTTCTTTGTGATAAAGTTGATATTCACACATAACTTCTCTCAGGGGCCACTGCAAGAAGTTATTTGGAACATGGGTCCAGTCATCTGGTAGTTGTAAGGAAAACACATATTTTTACGTGGAAAAAAAATAAAAATAAAAATCCAAAAGGCCTGCAGAGGAAGGTAAAGAAATCTAGAAGTATTATACTATAAAGATTTAAGGTTCATTCACAGTTATTCTCATACCATTTCTCATACCATTTTTGTAAATAAAAAAAAAAGTATGTACAAAAATTATAGATGGTCACAGAATAGTTGAAGGTATTGAAAGGTACTTGGTCTGGAATTATTCCCAACTTCACCATCTTCATCCTTCAGCATACGTATGTGACAGTAAGATTTGTAAAAATCATTCTGGATTCTTGTGATGTACTGTACCAAAACAAATAAATAAATAAATAAAATTAACTCAAAGTGACCAAATTTATTCATGTGTTAAAAAAAAAAAAAAAAAAAAAAAAAAAAAAGGAAAAGAAAAAAAAATAAATGTCAAGGCATGGAATGGAATTCTGGTGAATTCTGGATCTTGTAAGCAAAATGTGTGCATCTCCATTGCTAGTGTACCTTCTCCTCGCATATAATTTAAAATAATGATCCAGTCAACTCCAGCTACAAGTGTTTAGATTCTTCTTCAACATCCACAAATAACTCCTTGATTTTAACGAGGTTTCTCTCCACCTCCAATATACCCAATTAGTGAACCCTTCTCTATGCTTTATAATTTTAAGAAGCCTTAGGCAGAGAAATCTAAAGCAAAGAGGCAGAGAGTGCTGGTATTGCTAGAGAAAAGAGCAAGAGCTAATATATACAGTAGAGATGCATTATACAGATTACTCTGGCACAGGATGATGACTTCTGCAGCTGCCTCCTGCAAGAAATTGAGTGGTTATACATATGAAGCATAACTCAGTATAATTGCTTTGGTTAGGTTGCAGAGGTGAGTGCCACTGTAAGTGGAAGTTCTCATTTGCAAATAGTAAGATCTGAAGTTACAGTTCATTACTCTAATAGTAATAATGAAATTACACAACTCCATGGTTATATTAACCTGCAAAAGTGCAAACTTATCACAAAGATAAACCTAGGGTAGCACAAGACAATCCACAGCTATGCATAAATGCTACACAGATGGACATGTGTGCAAACTACCTGCAAGGCTCAGAGTAAATAACTGGAAGCCATGGACTAAAATAACAGAAATTACACCTAAGATATAATTGCTTTAAGTCACTGTTTAGAGTTCAGGGCTGTAACAAGCTTAATCCAAAACCTGTGACTTTCTGCCTCCAAAGGTTCCTTTAGGAACACTGGTAGTGTCATGCAGACAAGCTCCACAATGCCTCCAACACAACACAAGAGGCCAACAAAGAGTTTTCAGGTATTTCAGAAGTAGGAATGAATTGGTCAGTTGTTAGCAAGGTTCCCTACATAGTTATGATTTCAGAACAGATATCCACAGGGAGGTAAGTTCACCATCTAAACAAGACTGTGCACCAGCATGGTACAACTGACATTACGTGTGACTGGTTGTAATGAAGCTGCTACCATTTTCTTTATCAAACATTTGTAGCATCAAACAAACATCTGCAGAGTTACCCAATTTGACCGATACAAATACGGCAAAATTTTCCATACGTCTGTCCCAGTCGTGTGTCTGCCACTGGATGCTGCAATCCTTGCAGTAACACGACCTAAACTTTTGAAAGGTCCCCTGTGTTCTCACCATTAAGCACCTGAAAAAAAAAAAAAAAAAAAAAAAAAAAAAGGTTACAGAAACTTCTTTTCCACATTAATGCTACCAGCTTAAACACAGATATAAGAAAAGAGGAAAAGAACAAAAGGTAACAAGTGTAAATCTTTTCCACCCTCTGATGAAATCAGCTCTTTGCTCAGGCATATGAGTCCTTGCTTCTCCTGAGCTCTAGGTCAAAGTATGACTTCAAATGCAATATCAAGTGATGTTTCCCATTCCCTCTCTCTTAAATAAGAGATCAGTAGAAATGGTGTGCAGTTGAGCAGGCAACACCATCTAGCTGAGGAAACGTGGATCTGAGATGTACAGCTTTATACCCATTAAAAGGATAGCAGTTGAGCAGAAAATACAGAAAAGGGCAGACTTGAAGCCAAGGCTTTAAAAGTGATAAAAGCAAAGTACAGCGTGTCTCGCTCCATCCCTTGGATACTTTTAAGTTGTACTTTAGTTGAATTCACATATCAAGTATCTGGACTATTAAGGAGAAAACTGTGTGGAAAAAGTTTTCAGTTAACTACCAATCAATCAAAATCCATAAATGAAACACACTTGGACACATCAGAAAATATCCTGATCTCAAGACAATATTCATCAATGTCAGATGACAAATTTAGGATGAATTTGGATAAATCACTGGACACCTTCAAGAAATTCCATTGTATATTTGATAGCTCAGAGACTTTGCATCTGCTATAGCCTCTGTTAGAAGGGTCAGTTGTGTTAAGTTGTTCTACTTTTCTAACAGATAAATTGATCTTGATGTCGAATCTCGCCATCTCTCCATTTTCCATTATAATTAGGCCATGTGATGAAGTCTGCTTTATTTGCAAATCCTTCCCCCTCCTCAAGATAATAAAACAAGAGTTTCAACATCAATTTTATCACTCTCCACTGAACTTGGCATCCCTGGAATGCTGTAATTCATGTAATGGAAGTGCACTCCAGTGAACTTTCTGTAATGATAGCATAGTTAGAAAATTTAGGCTTCAATTAAAATGTGAATCAGCCAGAGTTAAAATACCATTTGTGGTGAAATTGTTCCATTAAATGTTGGAGTCCAGGCCACTAAACAGAAGAGATCTAGTTATTATGTTCAGTTCTGTCTGTGTTATTCTGATCAGCCTTAAATACCATTTGAAACAAAATAGGCAACATATCTGGTACATTATGAAGCCAATATCATAGCTGGCTATTATATTCTCATTACATTTTTTTTTCTCTTAAACTGAGTACTGAAAGGAATCCTAGAGATTCGTGTGAGTAACACGTTTTTTCTGCTGACGACAATTTTACATCACATTTGTGTATTCCCCTGATTCTCTTTATTTCTTTTTAGAATTGCAAGTACTAGCACATAGCTATTAAAAAGGGGAATGAACCATCCTCTCCCCCTCCCCCCCAAAAAAACAAGCTTTAATTTCTCAAATTGTGCTCTGATTAGTATTTTTGTGTGAATTTTACTGAAATAAAAGAAAAAAAATCTGTGAGGATGCTGCTTCGTATGTTCTCAAATTAAGAAAACATTAAATGATAGAAAGTTAGATAAAGCCAATTTGAATTCAAAATGTTAAGACAATCAAGGACTGAAACTCTTAGGTTGCATGAAAAACTGCAGTGCCATCAGCTTTGTTCAGTGTCCCACTTGCTGAAGTTATGAATATTCAGAATAGGTGAACAAATAATTTATGGGCTCTTTGGGCACGGCATGGAGTCTCCCTGTCCCAGGGGAGTGCTGGATGCATTTTGCCTGAAGCCTCATAGTGCAGACAGGAGCATACAAATCGTTACGCCTTCCTGAGACTATGCACAGGGGAACAAAATAACCTCAGACAACTCCAGCTGCTCAGACAAAAAAAAGTTTGCAAATGAGATGCATTTCTTTACGCTGATAATAGAAGATTTATGTGTCTAAGAGGCAAGACATTCTGACAGCAGTTATCTTGAGAATTTTCATTCAACGTAGTCTCCCTCGAGATCTTTTATGGTGGGAAAACTGCTTACAGTGCTATAGCACATGAGGTCCAACAAGTGTCCATTGCCTCCCCAGGTTTCACCACAGTTTTTGTCAGGATCACTGATTTTTCACAGTCTATTTCCTTTTCTGTTCCCTAAAGTGACGTGAACTCAGGTCATAAACACTTGTGTGAGTTGAAGAAAAGCATCTTTACATAATCGTTAGAGAGGCTGTCCTTAGTTATCTCCTTTAAATATCTACCCCACATTACTGCATTTCCCATTGCATACAGGGGAAAAAAATATGGCCTGGTTTTGGACTGCTATTCAAGTGTATTTCTTGATCAGAAACTCCCAAAAATTTTCTCAAGGAGAAACTGCCACCAAGAACAGCGAAATAGCAGAAAGCAAGTCACAATGGGAAATAATCCCAACTACTCCACTTACCACCTTTATGCCCTTATATACTCTGAATACAATAAAAGAAGTGTGGTTTATTGCTCCTATCATGTAATGGGTAAGATTCTGTGCAGAGACTCTTAAAGCAAAGGAAATGATACACTTGGTCAGTAAACTTCCACCTTTCCTTACTTTATGGTAACGTATTTGTGGGCCCATGTTCTTAACAATGCCTTTGTATATTCCATTACTCTTCTTTAAAATATGCTATTGGGTTAAAAGATAATGAGATTTAGAATAATGTGTAAGATGTATAAAATATTGGTTGCTGCTTCAGATTATTCCAGGTTGACTGATGCGATTCCATACCACATCTAATCCAAAGGCTACAACTGGCATTAACCCAGTTGTGTAAACAAATTCATAGCCTAAGATGTGCACAATAGTTCCCTTAAAGAGGAAAAAGATTTTGGAAAAGCAAATGCTTCATTCAAATATTTCTGTGATTACCCTAACACACCATATGTTATGGTTCCCACTGTACCCTCTAGCTTCATTAAACCTGTTTATAAAAAAAATCATTCTCAACATCATTATTTTCCCAGATAGATTATCTCATTTCTAATTAAAAACATCAATTTTGTGAAATCAATAAAGTAACCCCTCAAATCCCTTATTTCTAATAGCAATTAAGCCACTACACAGCAGATACAATCAATCTATTGTAGAAAATTTAACCAAAAAAAAAAAAAAGAAAGAAGAAAAAATAAATCAGTATTCTACCTATAACTTCTTAGTTTGCAAAGTATGTTCCTTAAACCACCTGCAAGTCATGAGGCATTGTTATTTGCTTACTGTCTTCTTTTTGGGCTACCTTAAGCCCTTAATTAAAAACAAATTAAATTAAAACTAGTTCAGGACCAATTATCCTCCATGACATTCTAATTTTCCACTCTTTACTTTTTCCTTCCCTTAAGGCCAGACACAACAGCCATCTCCACAGCTGCGGAGGGTTGGAGACAGCTCTTGCAGAGCTCATCAGCACCATTCTGGGGGCTGGCCAGAGGTATCATCAACTGCAAGCAAGTTCCTCTTCTCCCCAGCGTCTGCTGTGCTGCCTCTCTTGGGCTTCTGTCTCTTGCCAGCTGAAAGGAACAGAGAGCAAACACCAGACATAATTCCCCACACCCATATGGTACCCACCAGAGCCTGGCCACTGCATTAACCCCCCCCAAAATCATCTCTGAAAGGAATATATGGCACAGTACTGTAGCGAATGTTTATTGGGTTCCCATAACAGTGCACAGCGACAGGGTACTGCAGTGCAGCTGTTTTTTGTTTGTTTGTTTTTACCAGATTAATTTTCCTGAACTCCACAGAAACACATGAGCTTCATGGACAATAAAGGATGAAGAATACAAAAAAAAAAAAAATGGCCATTGCAAAACTGATGGCAACTCATCTTTCCCAGCACCAAACCACTGCTGGTAAGGTCCCCATCTTGGGCGAACAGAGCACCCACAGACTAAGACCAAAACAGTCACAAGACAGTAAGTGCTAGCAGCTGCAGAGAACAACCCTGAGATTTTAAAACACTTCATTAACCCCAGAAGTCATTACCACTCTGATGGCTGCACAACACCTCCTGTGAAAGCAGTGTATGGTCCAAGCACATCTAAGAATGAGGTGTCCTCAGTTCTGCAGCTGGCCAGGTCCAGGCGAGAGTATGGAGCGCCGCATACCCATCATCTCTGCCAGCCTGCAACTTGGGGGAAAGCTCTTAACTCACCGCTGCTGTTTTGTTGCCCTCGCTGGAGTTGAAATCACTTCAAATAATTAAAAAAAAAATATGACTTCATTGGGACTCCTTATGTCAGCAAGTCACTGCCTACAGGGGCCAGGGTTGCAAAAGCAGGGATTTTGCTTCTTGTAATTACATACTGCTGGACAAAACTTTTTGCCAAATTAGCATTAAGCAACTTTGAGAAATGTGAAGGTATCACACTGCATACACTTAAAACTAAAATATGCTTTTATGTAAACTTCTGGGTATAAGTATATAATCTGTAACCCTCAGAGAAGCAGTAGGAGAGCAGTGACTCACAAATACTGATCCTAAGCACAGTACTGCCTTCAAAGTTGTGAGGTTTTTTTTCCTTTTAATTAGTGTGCTGCACTTAAATGGCAAGATAACAGTTAGACGAAAAACAGAATCGTAAGGGCACTTGATTTTGGCTGCTTATCCTACTTCTTAGCCACACAACCTCCCAAGGACATGGGTTCCATACTTCCTAGTCAACATAAAATGAGAGAGTTGGGAACTTCACTTCAGTTCCATGGGATATTTTACGGTGCATATCACAATCTTCATCTCTCTGCATTTACTACTAATAATTTATAAGTAAAGTCAATTATTTATATATTTTTTTATTTTATTTTTTTTTTTACAAAAACTTCCTTACAACTGTTTTAATATACTTCCACTTAACTATGAATCAAACCACTGTTAGCTCCATTTGCTCACTAAAGATCTTTAATGAAACAAGGAACTAACAAAAAAAAATGAAAAAAAAATTTATACCAATGTGAAAAACAATTAACAGTTATCTCTCTCTGTTTTCAGCACTAGCA